TTAAAAAATTGTTTGAATGCAGTACGATTTACATGCAATACGACATCATTTCAAGTATATGATTTACAAAACTGGAGTACTGCAATAAGCATCCTCCAATTCATTTTCCTTGCATAGTATTGCATACAATCTTCTTCCTACATTCATCTCTTGAAATAGGTTTGAACTCCCCATTGGTGAAGTTTTATAAAAGATGGTTTGATGAAGTTGCGCTAAATTAAGGTATTTTAATTTGAAGGGTTTTGAACATCGGAACAGTTTCCCTGCAAAATAACTTTGATTGAAGCTTCCTCTTTATTTTCAACTGACTGGCAATGCTTTTTCTGGGATTTTATAGTAACAGCATACAAATTGTTAGTGACTTCTGATATCGTCCTTAAGAAACCTAAGTGAAAATTAGCGGGAAAGCGAAAGGAAAGCTTTACATTCATATTGAGATAAAAGCCCGCTTAGATCCCTTTTATTCAACATTGCTGAAATTTTTTGTTTTCACCTTAAAACTGTGTTGGCAAAGCGCTTACCTCGAGAAAATCCTGTTGATCTTTTACTGTTACCGTTATCGATATCTATGCGGAGGTTGATAGGGAGAATTTTGGCGGAAGAGCGCCTAAAAACCTTTGATTTTTCGACAATCCTATTTTAAGATGATGTAAGCCAATTAACTAACGAGTTCAAGAACGTTCCCAAATTTTCTAAGGATAAATCAGAGCAGCCTGCGCTTTTCAACTCCTAAAAAGAAAAGATGAATGCGCTAAAGCTTAGTTAAAACTCATTATTACCTCTCGAAGCGACATTGCGAGATATTTGGTGTCGACTATTTCAGGAAATAGTGAATGCATAGCATGTTTCCATTCGTTGTAATTGCCTAAATCATGCGTCTTGCTTCTTCTTTTTACGCACCATATATCTTATGAATTGGAGATCTTTCGAATTTTACTTACTGGGTAAATCAGCCTCAAAGCAGTTATAGATGTGAAGAAGATCCATTATCGAGTTATGAACAACTAAAGGCGGTTTGATCTTTGCCAACCAACAAAATATTTGCGATACTCCGCTAATTTCAGTCATAAGCCTGTAGGAGCAACTTTTATAATGTTATTCTTATTTCTCTTATGGCCAAACAATTTCAAATTTCAATTACTGATAATAGCTTATGAAATCAAAAAAATATAAGAGCTGTAGAGCACACAATGATAAAAAAGGTGATCTAAAACCGGACCTAGAAAAATAGGTGTGCACAGATTATTTTATCATCCAGACTATTCTAATTTACAAATTATTATTAACAATTAAATTAGTTCTCTCTCAGACTGGGTTGCTTAGTGAATCATTTACTGCAGAAAAGAGAGACTTTGATTTTGGCTAAATTGTCTATTTATTCACACTTATTGTTTTGATTTTTTTGGTGTGCTATAGCATATTATTTTTAAGGCAATTCGTTGAAAGTATTATTCTGAGTTGTTCCTAAAGTTTTTTGTAGATTCTATATTTTTTAAAATCAAGCTTTAAACTTTGGAATAGTTTAGATCCTTAGATCACACAGCGCTAAGACCACGTGCTTCCTTTCCCGCTTCCAATTTTTTTCCCAATAATTTTATTTGTATTCAAGCTGACTCTTCTAAAGCGAAGCGATTTGAGCACAGGTTAAGTTTGCAAATTTACATACTGCCAAAATTTAATTTAAAAATCTAACATAGTATATAGATGTAAGCCCGAAGTATACGTATCAGAATGACTGGATGGTAACTTTTTGTTTTGGAGATTATCATAAAAAAGCAAACTGGTATAAATTGCCAATGAAAGGTCAACTTACTTTTGTTACAAAACTACTAGAAAACTTATGGCAAGTTATGGCTATTCCACGAAAAAGTAAACGATTGTATGATCGCTTCGAAAAAGTACCGTAAATTCTTCAAGAACCCTAGACGGAAATTTGCTGCTGAATTTTCCTTTTTGAAACTCCAGCC